ACACACACACATATATATATATATATATATAAAGAGAGAGAGAGAGAGGGGGGTTATAATAATTTTGGTGTAACTTTTATTAAGTATTACACTACTCAATAACTTTATATTAATTATGAATTTTGTAAATCCAACCGTTAGATTAAAAGTTTATATCACTTTATATGTGTGTATAAAATTTTGTTAAAATTGAACAACAACTTAAAGGTAATCAAAGTGTTCATATTTTAGTATATTTTGAAATGTATATATTACGTTCATTTTGTTTTATAAGAATGAAATATCAAATCATCTTGGATTAATATAAAATTTTGTATATATGATCAAAGAGTAAAGAACTTTCAATCTAACGGTTGGATTTACAAAATTCATATTTAATATAAAGTTATTGAGCAATATAATACTTAGTAAAGGTTACACCGGTGTTATTATAACCCTCCTCGTTATTCAAAGGGTGCTATCAGGGGCGGATCTTCATAGGGACAGGGGGGAGCCACGGCTCCCCCAAACTTTTCTAAATTTTTTTTTATATATATATATTAATATTATATTTATATATTATTATATTATTAATTATAATAAAACTAAAAAAATTATGTTAAAAAAGAGAAATTCTAATTTTTTTAATTAATAAAAAAATAATTTATAATTTTATATATATATATGAAAATAATCTGGCACCCCTAAAAATAATCTGGCACTCCTGAAAATTTTTTTCAAGTTCCGCCACTGGGTGCTATCCTCCTTTTTTCCATGTATGGGTTGAAGGTGAGCCTTGACAAGTTGTGAATTATGGTTTTGGAGGTTTTTCCTATGATTGGGATGACACAACTTCATCTTTGGATTTTATGGGAAGGTGGACATTCTTATGCTGAAGTTATTCCCTGTTACATGGGCTATAATTATGCTGGGACATGGGATTTAGGAAGGTTTAGTGCTTCTCTAATTCTAAGTATGTAGTTAACATGGTTCATGAAGAGGTTGGCTTATATCATTTGTATGCAAATGAGATCATTCGTATTAAAGAGTTGTTGGCTAAGGAGTAGGAGTGTATAGTGCGGCATGTGTTTTGGGAAGAGAATCAGTGTGTGAATATTTTGGCAAAAAAGGATTATGGCTTTAAATGATCAGTTAGAGGTGTTTCATGAGACTCTGGAGTTTCTTGAGGATAATTTAGAAATGAATGCCAGGGGGACCACGTTCCTCATATCTAGTTGACTTTGTTTTCTTTAGTTTTGTTATGATTTCTTCCTTTCTTATCTTTGATGTAACCAAAAAAGAGATTATTAGATGTGAATTTAAAGTTTTGATGTCGTCTTTACAAAATATGTAATACTCTTCCATTCATTGCATTGTATAATTATATTTCAATAAAAATTTAATTAATCTAATATTAATTATAATATTCTCAAATTTAATTAAGTATTAGTTTAAAATGATGATGTGTAACTCTCATGCCCTCCTTCGAATCACCTTCAAAGGTTTGCGACCGTATTTCTAGCGTAGTCAAAATCCAATTTCGAATGATGAACTGAACTGTTCTAATAAGATTTCATTCTTGAACAAAAATCTGATAGATTTATTGGAGGGATGGTCCCATTATATTAATTTTTTAAAAAAATTTATATTTTAAATATTTATAGTGTTAGAATTTTCTATTTTATAGATTATTAATTTGTGTTTGTGTGTATGTATTGACTTTTGAACTTATATATAATTTAAAAAAAATTATAATTCATAAATATTTCACTTGGATAAAATATGAAATCCAATGTATCATTTCTAAAAATATTAAGATATAATTAGAGATACTTTGTTGATTTCCTTATTTATCTTATACTTTACCTTGGAATATTAACTTTACACGTTAAAAAAACACTCTATACAAAATAAGTAATGTTATATAATGTTTCCTCTGTTTTTAATTATAAATATATATATATATATATATATATATAT